TCACTCCCAGGGGAACTACTTCGAGGGTGATGGATGAATTTAATACCTGAGATAAGTGTACGGGTTTTTATACGCGCAGTCTTGAAACTTTCCGATCGCACCTCGTATAATGTCCTTCCTCCAAGTAGCATACATACCAAAAAGGTCTGTCGAGAAATTATACTTCATGGTCAGGAGGTTGGATGTATTCCATGGTGAAGAGAAAAGTGCATGGCCCTACCTGGAATCGAAGCCCGGATATGCAACTTGAAAACCGTTTATGTTTATCAGAGTGGAATTCTTTTGTAATTGTTTAGGTATGTCTTGGTGACCGAGTGATTGTGGACATAACGAACAACATGGCTGGGCGAACCGTGGCCATCCACTGGCACGGAGTGTTCCAGCAAGGCTCCCAATTCATGGACGGAGTTCCCATGTTAACTCAGTGTACCATCCACGAGAGTAACACGTTCCGGTATGACTTCATTGCCAACAACGAGGGCACACATTTCTGGCATTCCCACGACGGTAATTGAAATGTTCGAAATAAATCTGCATTATGGATCGTACGAGCAAATTATTTGTGCCGAATTTTTCCCATTTGAAACAGTCGGGTAAAATGAAATACTTTACCGCCATTATTTTTAACCTTACCATCATAACACGCCTTTAAAAAAGCCCAAGGTTCAAAACCGTGTATATGAATATCCTCTACTGAACCAAAACCTGCTGAATCCAGTCCTTATCCTGACAACTTATTCTTCAAGATCTATTTTAATATTATCTTCCTGTATATGTCCCTGATAATTAAAAAGTTCCTCGTTACATAAATATTTCCACCCTCGTGTCTCTTCTTCTATTTGATTTCCAATATGTTTCCCTTCGGTACTTTCTTACGAGCTGCACATAATGCAAGTTCATTTGTTTTAGGTTTGCAGAAGCTTGACGGTTTGGAAGGTAACTTGATAATCAGGTCACCTAAGGATTACGACCCGAACGGCAACCTCTACGATTTCGATCTGCCGGAACATAAACTGTTTATCAGCGACTGGCTGCACCTGCCAGCAGACGACCACTTCCCAGGTCTCCTGAGGGCAGATTCGGGACAAGACGCCAACTCCTTCCTCATTAACGGGAAAGGACGCACCTTGGTACGTGAATATTTCTGTCATACAACGTGTCCAGTCCATCGTACTCTCTCTGACTCAATATCCTCATATTATTGTGATTTCTGTGTAAATTACGAAGATGCACTTGTGTGGCACCAACAATTTCTTAATCAGTTTAACTGAAGAATCGGGATCTGACGACATTCTTGAGAAACGGGTGTCAGTCACGGGAGAAATGACGAAAGGAAAATGTAAGGTTGAACCGGAATTAATTTATGACGGAAACAGTAAGCTTGAGAACTGATTAAAATAAAGGATCGCGAAAGAGGGCGATGTACTTTTCGCGACTGTAATCTTGAGACTTGCAAGGAATGCAGGAAGTCCGAAGCGTTAAAGGCAGACGCCTTTTCTCCTTCACTCCACTTCCTCACCCCGCAAGTCTCAAGATTACAGTCGCGGACTATACATGCTTTAACTACTGGATGTTACCAATTATGAATCTCCCATTGGTCTGGTACTGTTTTTATGCAGATTGGAACTCAATCAACCATCACACCATACGCGCAGATAAACGTGCAGTCTGGTATGAGGTACCGGTTCCGTATTATCGGCGGTCTGTGTACCGTCTGCCCCACTCAGCTCACCGTTGATGGCCATAAAATGCTCGTTATAGCCACCGACGGCAATCCTGTAGCGCCAATGCGGGTCGACTCTCTCAACATTTACTCAGGTGAGTTATCTATCATCCACTGAAAATAACAAGCTCTCCGATTGGACTCTTCTCAGTGTGGCAGCTGACCGTTCCCAGACTTCGTGGTCACAACATAAGACAAAGCGTCTGAAATTGTATATGGAATTACCGTAGCCTATTTGGAAGCATTCTTCCTGTTTTCACACAAAGAGGCTGTTTAAACCTTTACAAATCACAGAATGTTTCGTTCCCGAGCGGTAATCAAATCAGCTACCTTCTAAATAATCAGACGTGTTCTACCACAAAAAAATTCTCGGTTAAAAACTTCCAGGGCCTTCCCCATAATAACTCCTGATAAAATATATTGCAGGAGAGAGATACGACGTCGTAATAGAAGCAACAAATTCTCCGGGACCCTACTGGATCCACGTGAAAGGCCTTGCGACCTGCGTTGTCGGAAGAGTGTACCAGTTGGGAGTGTTGCAGTACGAAGGCGCAACCACCAAACTGCGTGCTCTGCCATATGATCCTGGATACGACGGTTTCCCACCGACAGCAAACTACAGGGCAAGTCACGTTCAAATACCTAGTTGCATATGTACACCCTACCTTCAGCCTTGGACGCGTAATACCGTATTTCATAGCTTTTAAGGCACTTCATTGCACTTCTTAAAATTTGTGAAATCGTTTGCAGGTCCTAAACCCCGAGAATGCAACCTGCAGTAGCGGGTCGAACGGAGTGTGCAACACGCAGCTTGTAAACCCGTTCCCCGTGCCGAAAAACATCCTGAAGCAGCTCCCGGACTTCAACTTTCTTCTCACGTTTGGGTTCGAAAGCTTGAACCCAAACGCTTTATTCAAGTCATATGACCGATACTTTGGTAACGTAATAGCGAATTTAAATCAATTTAGCCATAGATAATGAAATATACATTATTTCTGCCTTAATTTACTCCTTTCTATTCTTTCATTTCCTCTTTTCTTTCTATCTTCTGCCTTTATTTATCGTCCTTCCTCATTTTATTTTTCTTCCCTTCTTCCTCTGTCCTTATTTTAATTTATTTCTCTCTCTTTCCATGCTTTTTCTCTCCTCTTTCTTATCTCTATCTCATTGCATTCATTGCTTCCTTTTTCTCTGTACTTCGCTTCTCTCTCACTTACGTCTGACCTCTTGACCCACAGTGAGCCCAGACCTCGACCTACTCAGCAGTACGATGAACAACATCTCGTTCGTCGCACCCCCAGTACCGCCTCTCACCCAGTCCGAAGACATACCAGCCGGGGCGCTCTGCCCGGTCGATGCTAACGGCCTGCCGCAATGTCCCGGGGGACAGTCCTACTGTGCGTGTGTCCACGTTATCAAAATTCCACTCGGTGCCTTGGTGCAGATTATCCTGTCGGACGACTGTAAGTTCAAAATGTTAAAATGCTTCATTACTATTCATTAGTACTTTTGACCTGCTGTTCCTTTAGGAGTCTAATTTCTGTTAACTACAACTGAAACACATCCTCTTACACTAAACTACCATCTCCTTGCAGCAAGAGATTTAAGAATCTGAAGGTCGCTTAGTTGGTGAAGAAATTACCCATCTCTTACGGATCCCGAATGTTCATTACAATCAGCAGACCCTATACAGAGGCTCATGAATCCAGTCCACATCCTATTACTTTAAGATCCATTTTAATATTATCATCGCATATACTACTAGGTCTCCAAAGCGGTTACTTACTTACTTTCAGGTATTCCGCCAAAAGTTTTGACTTTATGGTCTTCCCAATGCGTGCTGCATACCACGTTTATTTTTATAAAATAAAATAAAATATAACATACTATTTGTAGACAAAGTGATGACGACTGGCGACTGTTTCTTCCGTTTGCAGCACCCAGATCTGACCTGAATCACCCGTTCCACCTACACGGATATGCATTTTACGTTATGGACATGGGTCAGTACGCAGAAGGGCAGACACCTCAAAACCTTCTTAAGGACCTGAACAGCAACGTCAGAACAGTTTCAACTGCGCCAATTCTTAAAGATACCATTGCTGTTCCATCCGGAGGCTACGCGGTCATCAAGTTCAAGGCGAACAACCCCGGTAAGGTTTTGCCACTCCTACCGACGTGATAACGGGACCTCTATTAATTAAACTACCGGCAGATATTTCATCTCAAATCTAAAACTTCTTGACGATGGTGAAGAGTCAATTGAATAAAAATTTTCTTGGATATTATCCATCGTCTAGTAAATATAAAACGTAAAACGACGTTTCGGAGAATTTTTATTCAATTGACTCTTCACCATCGTCAAGAACTTTTAGATTTGATTCCCTATCTCCGGACCTCTTGGATATTATCCATTATTACGTTTTATATTTACTAGACGATGGATAATATCCAAGAAAATTTTTATTCAATAGATATTTCATCGCTGTTACTTTTTCGTCTTTGTGCCGTCACTATTTATATTACTGCCACTACAGATGTCTCGGCTGAAATCTTCGTATTAGCGAGATCCTATTGAACTTCAGCCATTCTGCATCAAGCCCTCCAGTTTTCTGCTATCCTCCATATCTTCAGTAAGCTCCAATAATACGTGGTTCTGTTGCAGGATACTGGTTCCTCCATTGCCACTTCCTGTACCATATTGCGACCGGGATGTCTGTCGTCCTCCAAGTGGGAGAGAAAAGTGATGTCCCTACTCCACCAACCGGTTTCCCCAAATGTGGAAGCTTCACGCCTCAAGTGTATACCAACTAAATTCCAGCAACCTTGCAAACCTATAATATTATTGATACGTTTGTAGAATATATAGCAAGTAAAATAAATAAAAATAAGTTTCAAGATGAATTAAATACTTCACTTGCTCAAAAATTGCCAAATGTTTCACTATGACTTGCTTCAACACTAATATCCATTTCCTCCATCTAGACAACGCGATTGTATCATTCTCAGGATATCCCGGGTTCAAATTTCAACCCAGAGACAAAATATAATAACATGTATTGCAATTTTCATTATCCCATACAAAAATTGAAGGGCAGTTCATTAGAATATCTTCTACCACAACACCGAATTTTACGTCAAGCTGTTAGAATATCTGCTTCGTCTTTCGGATATCCCGGGTTTGAATTTCATAATAGGGACCGGTTAACCTTACTTAGGCTTTCCATACAGTCCGTCAAGATAAATAATGTTGCACAACCACTATACCACCACGACCAACTACTTGTACGTACATTCGTTCCAGCTCAATATTCACTCACCATCTCATCTGTCAAACTTGAGCATAATTTCAGTACCTGAATACGTCGTTAAATAAGTCTAGACCAAAACAGAATAAACATCTAACACAATTAATAATTATTGTGTAAGTAGACGCTACATGATAAATACAGTTAAGAAATTAACAAATAAGGAAACAAAGAAGCCACATTTTCAATACTGATATTTCTAATCAACAAGCTACCTGAAGCATGAAATGTAGGCGTATATTCAGAAACCGGTTTGACGGGGATTTTCAGTAAACCGTTTGAGTTACCCGGTGTCCTACGTGAGCGATTAAATGCGAGCGGTGCGAGTTGCGTGAGTGAAGCGGAAATATCAAACTGACTGTTTGTGTGGCGCTGTCCTAGGTTCCAGCAAAGCAGCCAAAGTCTGAGATCAAATATTTTGATATTTTCGCGCTAGTCGCTGCTCTGGCCAGTAAGGCGCATGCGCAAGAAAGCTCTGACCGTGCAGTACACGGAAGGCGCATGCGCAGGAAGGCCGTGGGCTTCTATTGCGGTCTCTCACGAAGGACACAACAAGCGATTCCCCGCTTCATATGACGCCCCATGCTGCTTATGCAGCTCGCATAGCTCGCTTGTTATCGCTTACGTAGGACATTGCCTTAAAGCATAGAATTTTATGTGCAGACAGATCCCTCAGCGTCCCAAAGCAAAGAAGTCTCGACATTTCTCTTTCGGAAATGAACCCAACGTAACAACACTAATACAATTTAAATAAACCTCATACAACCCAATTCCACCCCACCTTAAACTATCTTAGCCTAACCCAGCTTAAATTAATCTCGCCCAATGTAATCAACGCGAAAGCAACCTAGTCAAAACTAATTCGAACTGACCCAATTTAAGCAAACTTAACTCAACCTCATCCATCCTAACCTAACGACTTTATTCAACTTAACCCAACACAAGCTAACGTAAGCCAACCGAAAAATACGAAACCCAACCTCACGAAAATTAACCCAACCTAGCTTTCATGACGTATGCATATTCCTTTCAGAATTCGACAAATTTGTGTCGCAACAACCCTGAGGTGGATTAATGAACCAAATGCTATTTATACAGAAGTAACGAGTAAAATTCTAATGACAATCTTTGAAACTAATTAGTGTAGACGACAACGTAAAGACAAATGTTCTTGGGTTGAGAGATAATAAGTTTTCCTTCGGTATTCAACAAACAATACCCGTCTAATGACCATGCTTAAGATAATCTCTCAAACAAACAAAAAAGGTTGATAAGAAATATAAACATTTGTCTAATTTCCCAGATGTACCACTGCGGGCAATCCGAAAGTAATTATTTAAAATAATAAATTAACAAATTATTTAAGGTAAATTGACTGATACGTGAGCATATCGTCGCAAATTAGAATTTTAATAAATTTCCATAACGTTCCAATAAGCTTGTCACAACACGGCAGCTCGCTAGTCGATGCGAAAGAAAATATGAAGCATCAGATATTAAAATGGTTGAGAACCCCTGATATAGAAAATACAATTATATGTCACACATTTGATAATTTATGAAAAATTCTGAGTTTTCAACAGTGTATTCCTTCTTCAGACACAAAGTAAAGAAAACTAATTTGTCTTTTCTCATTTTCCTAACCGACTCGCGATATTTAATTTAGAATACGTTACATGTAGAAACATATCAAAATTTTAACTTCCAAATTCAAAATCATAGCACTTATCAGATTTTCGACTTTTATTGGCATTTATCAAATCCCAGGCACATTTATTAATTTAATTTTTATCATAAAAAAGTACTTTCTGACAGAAGGAAACTTGTGATTACTATAAACAGACAAACTTGTTAACACTCGAAAGGCGAAGTTACCTGCAAAATGCTCGCCCTAATAATCACTTATTTATTAATAAACAAGTCGCTTATCACACATTTCTAAGAACTGTCACTTGGACTTTCTCTGACTTATTGGCGACGGATAACCATTTTACCTTCTCCTGTATCACACAAAAGAGATAATTTATTTTGCCAAATAGGAAAGTGATAAAGTCTGACGTCTCAAACGTACGTCCAATTCAGTGAATTGTCCCCTGTTACGCTGCTGACGTATCAAGTGCGTTTGAAATATTGAGTCGCTCTTATATTATTTTAGTCCTGCAAGGTTAAAACAATTACAGGGACGTGGACACCGAAATATGCATATACTTCCCCGACTGTTATCATTGAAAATATAGGCAAAAAGAGATTAAGAAGAAAAAACATCTGGGGATTTCTTACAGGTTTCGTTTTCCGCACGGTTGACTTCGAAATATGGGGACAAAGAAAGAAATGCATAGAAAATATTAGTTGAGAAACCTGAATTAAGTGAGGGCTTTTAAAGACGTGGCGGACTTTATATATTTCGGAACTCTGACAAACTTAACTTAACCTAACCTAAATTTGGGGAATGTAGATCAGAATCGTATGCATTCCGTCTGCCTTGTAAGAACGAAATTATTAAAATATAAAAAAAAATTACTTGGTGAAACATGGTCTCTTATATTAAGATATAACACATTTATAATGTTTAACAACAGGGTTCTTGGAATAAATTTGGGCCTAAGTGACGGGAGGCTTGGAACATTGTATAATGAGGAGCCCAATAATTTTGCACTTTACTAAATATTATTAGGAAAAACAAACCGAGAAGGATGAGGTGGACGGAGCATGAGGGACGTGAGAACTGCCTGCAAAATGTTGGTTGGGAAACCTGAAGGAAACAGACCACTCAGAAGACATAGCTGTACATGGATATTATTAAAATGAATCATAGGTATATGGGGTTTAAAAGTGTGGATTGAATTAATCTGGCTCGGGAGTGGGACAGGTGAGGCGTATTTGTGAATATAGTAATGAATCTTCGATTTCCGAAAAAATGCTGGATATTTCTAGAGTAGCTTAGCGTAGTATCAGCTACTTATGAGGGTCTCTGCTTCTTAAAGTAAGAAGCTAAGTGACCACTTCCGAAACATCCGGGTAGATCGTAAGATAATATTAAAATATATTCAAAAAATACAAACATAGTTTGACGGTGTAAGGTAGATTCAGCTGACAGAGGATCGGCTCCAGTGGCACAATTTTCTAAACACTAAAATATGTGTAGGGTTTGGGGTTTTCAGCGGAACATTTCTCTTCTGAGCCAAAGGAATCCTCACCGCCTATTTATTTAGGATCTGTTTTAATGTTAACCTCCCACTTTTGTCTCAAAACTTCCAACTTGTCATTAAAGTTACATACCCCAAACATCTCATCCCAAATTTCTCATTTTGATTTTGCGGAGGAGGTAACATTATGAACCTCAAAGCATTCCTCCGATCATCCTGTGTTTATCACACTCAACCTGTTATTGAATAACTTTGTCAGTAATTTATTCGCAATGAAATGTCCACTAGTAAGATTTGAGGTTTTCACGACGGTGAGTCTGATGATGGCTATCTTTCGGGTTGCAGCGCCGTATAGGCTGGTATAAATTGTCATCATGTCCCTGATAACAGAGGCAGTGAGCACCCGTGAAACGTCGAAGAGAGCCCCTTCACATTACAGCATCAAATAAAACGGAATAAATGGTTGGTATGGTTCGAAATCGGAGAACAGTGAAGTCTCAAGCATCGTATTATAAGCAGACGAAGAAATTGTACCAAGAATAATCCAGCATTCACTGACTCAATGAAACCCTGTCGTTCTTTGAAACCAGCCAAATTCTGACGTATGCTTTCTCAAATTTATTTAAATTTAACCCCATTTATAATACTCAGGATCGATTGATTATGCCAATCGACACCGTAAAGTCACTTCGTACTACAAGTCACTGTTTAAATACTTATTTCAAAACTTATTTGCAGTATTTTGGTGCATTAAATGTGTTTCTCTCTTGCTCACCATTTAGACACGTTTTGGAGTTAGACAGACCAGGGTCAAAGCGCTTAAGCTATGCCAAGGGCGACCATCAGCTGTACAGGAAGAATTCTGATATATGGAATTCTAACACAACGCATGGCAGGTAACACGATCAATGGTGCACTACTCATGTGCGTTTTTAATGTTCTATCTTATGGTATAACATCAAACATCGGCCTACATGAAAATCAATTTCAAATGTCACGAATCCTATTACGTATTACGTTCCATTAGTGACCTCAAAATAAATAATAGTGCTCAAAATTCTCCACGTGTAGTCACATGACAAATTGTAAGAATAATTAATCATTTTATAGATCTCATTTTTATAAATAATATAACTTGGCTTATCTAATTTTCATTATTGCATTATCAGTTACTTACCGATAAGGTAAAATTACTCAACTGCGCCTTATGGACATTATGCTGAAGGCCTTCAAATGTCCGATATTCGTAAAATTTCCTCCAGAAAGTCATAGTACTTAAAGGCGGCAATCCGGTGGTAAACTTGTCTGACGCCTTCCAGATACCAGTCCGGGCAAACAACACTGGTAAGTCTGAACTAACAAATTAGGTTTGGAAATAAAACAATAAAATTTGTACTGTTTAAACAATTTTAACAATTCTCAAATTCTTAATTTATTTACTGAAATAACAAATGCATGTCTCTTAAGTCATTTATTCTATTCAAGAATTAATTTGAATTACTTAAATATTTTTAATACGATACAAAATTGGTAAAATAGGAGCTCGTAGGTCTATTATTCTGTTGGTACTCTGGTACGAGAAAATGCATCTGATTAAGTAGACTGCATACGAGAAATTCTTGTTTGAAAGGTGGTGCTTCGTGCTACAGCTCATTTCACATACAGACTTCCATTTGCACAGGCTATTAAGTATTCGCCAAAGTGCTAACTGCGCTTCAGAAAGTCATTAGTGAAAAAAGATAACATTTAATCAGTCACAGAGTAAACGAACTGTTACGAAAACATGGACGCATGAAATAGAACTCAGTATTCGAAGACATTATAAGACTTCTGAAACTTTACAAGACACACAGCTGGATCATATTTCGAATTTGATAGGCAATGTCTGGATTTTATTACCTTGCAAAACTCATTATATAAAAAAAACAGATCTTCCCTGCCTTAAATTTCTAAAACTGAAACACAAATAGATCAACCCTATTTCGATTTTAATACATCAAATAATTTTTTAAATTTGAGATATAACATAGATGGATCCTGCTTGGTGGTATTTTCTGCTAGAGGAAACATTCTAACCAATGTCTACATAGGCCAAGGTTAACTTAAAAGTAACTTATTAATTGCCTCAAAATAACAGCAAATTTTGGAGTTTTCCTCCGGGGGTTTCCCCGGTTTCTCCGTGGCATCCCAACAATTACTCCACTCACACACAGAAGAAGGCAATGGCAAACCACTTCTGATCATCTCTGCCAGGAATGTATATATGTATGAGCAGGTCCCTGACAACCTGAAGAGGTTGGAGGAACCTGTTCATAATATATGGACCTGTCGTCAGACAGAACACTACAAAAAAAAATATTACGGCTAAAATTCAATTCGGCCTATATTTCAGCCATAAAAGAACGTAAAATGTATGTGAATTAGTCAAATAAATGATTCTGAACCAAATGGTTACAGATTTACCGAATAATCTGTGTACAGACAACGGAAATAACTACGGGTCCGTTAGTAGACCCAAAGACTTCTGAGGACTACCAGACAAAGTGAAATATTTACAATCACAGGGGTACTCTGTCAACAACTTTAAATATATCAATTATTGGTGATGTTCCAGCTACTTACAGCAGAGGTGATGTATCTGTATCTTCGTTGGATTCTGCTGGCCACCGGTATCGGTGTAGTTTCATCACAGACACGTCGTAAGTAATAATTCTGTAAACCTTCCGCTTGTAAACTGAGATACAGATTTTGCATAGCAACAAAAACGGTTCACAGCAAACAATTTTGAAAAGTTTGCTGTCCAAACTCTCCTCGCTTCTATGAGAATGCATTTGTAAAACCAGCTTCTTGGATGAGACAGACCATTGGTCACTTCACTCAGCTGATTAGAAATATTTCACCTGTTATAGAACCCATCCTGCCACAAATTCACACCTTCCTTCTTTAAGATTAAGTTTAATATTATCGTGATATATGCTCCTACATCTTCTAAGTGATACCATCAGTTTTAAACTTTTCAACAAACGTAAATTATTAGGTAGGATTTGGATTTTACACGGTGGTGAGCACGAAAATGGTTGTCTTCTGGGTTGTAGGGCCGTGTAGTCTGGTAGACGTTTACGAACACCCATCATTAGCGCCCTGATGATGGAGGTAGCAAGGACCTCTGAAACGATGGCAAACGTCTACCACACTACCTGGCGCTACAACCCAGAAGGCAGCCATTTCGACATTTATACGTTTCTCATTTCTTCCACGCGAGTAATGCCCATCACATATCACTCTTCTTGATAACTAATACCCCACGCACAATTTGTTTTCCAGTCAATCTTAATAGTTATCTGCAGCCGGACCGAGTTACCCGCCAACAGTTTGTAAGCCCGCCTCGGGGAAGCAGTCTTTGCGCCAGGCAATGCGTGAACGGGGAAGCCCCCAAGATATGCTACTACAAATGGCTTGCCGAGAACTACGTCACACTTGGACCGTGAGTACATGCTTACTCCCGACCGTTAATACGTTTTGTTTAACGAAAGAAAGAGCTGAGGGTTCACAAATAATATAGATCACATTCATACCTAAGAAGTAGGCCTAGAGAAAGGGACATATAATATAATTTAATGAAGTTCTTCAACATGTGAATTTATCCATTGTATAAATAGGGACCAAGACACGGATTTTAGTAATGAATTTAAATGATGTTGATAGGAATAGATTGTAAAAATACGGAAAATTGTTTTCTTACGCTCTGTCCATCGTAGAATTATAAATAAACACACAACGTTCCTGAAGCTGGATTGTGCTTCCGACTTCTGGTAAAGAAAGAAAGGGACAAATTTCTATCTGTTAACCCCCTCACCCCGGTTGAGATAGCCTTAGCTTCTTACTTTTTCACCTGAAGATAGAATTTTGCAGATAACAAATTGTCGTCAGAAATATTTAGATTTCATCGGTAAAAATATGAACTGAAGGTCAGGTTCACAACGAAGCAACAGACAGCAAGGGATAGGCTATGTCACACCTAACGCATATTCACACCAACATAACGAAACTGCAATTTTGCGAAAATATCGGTGTAAGGAAAAACTATAAATTCTAAATTTACACCAACTCCATAGCCGGCGAACGAGAGTTGTAACTATGTCAGAGAACGCACTGCAAACTCTGTATTTGTAGAAGCACATCACAATTTTTATACTTTGCCATTTGAATAAGAAGCAGATATTAAATACTAATAACTGGACTTAAGTATGAGACTCTGTAGCGATCAATGTGATTTCAGGGCTTGTGGAAACTGCCCTGTTAACGTGACTGCATGCGACGAACCTCAGTGTGTGGTTGCGAACGGTTATGAAAAATCTGTCCTCACAATCAACAGAATGGTACCTGGACCTAATATACAGGTAGGAAACAGTATCGGATTCTTTCGGCTACGTTATATATTACAGAAGGAACCTGTCAGTAGACACAAAGCAGAAGGCCTCCAGATATGGAGAACAGAGGCAAATATAGGTGACCCAAAAGATTACACAATGCTCACGTATTTAATGATTGTACATACCTTTCTAGGACAACCTCTATAGTGAAAAGCTGTCGATGTGAGTCTATAAGGAGACATCCTTAACCCTCAGGTACGGCCGGCGGCTAACAGCTCCCCACTGCAAAAGACCAGCATGTTATAAAACATTACGTAGTCCCAGACTTGAGAGAGATTTTGTGAACACTAATAAATCTCCTGAGTTTCATAAAAGACGGAAAATTTCTTAGATGGCTAAGCGTACTGCCAGCTTCTCAAGAAGGACTCTGCCCGACGGAGTTATCTTACCCCACCAACTACTGTTTGGAGTCGATGGCCAGTCCTAGATTCTGCCTATTCACAGACAATCTTACAGTAACACAAAAGCTTTAACTAGGATACTGTCGCAAAAACTGATTAAATACAAACTTAAAATCAAGTTCGAAAACATGGAACGGCTAACCTGAGCTGCTGCTTCAGAAATTCCTATGTTCTTTCTGCATATCAGCCTACATCAGTTCAGTAACATTTTGGACAAAGCTGTATTTTCCAGAAACATTTAAAATCTAGTGACCAGATTACATACTAATGAAAAGAATACTGACAGTAACGACACTTCTGTTTCCATAAAGTTTTGCGACAAGGAAATCCTTGACAACAAATGAACGGAAGATCATGAAAGACCTTAAATAACCTGTAACTGTAACTTCAAACAATTTGCCCTTCACTCAGGTATGTCTGGGTGACCGTATTATCATCGACCTGCAGAATAACATCGCTGGAGGCCAAATGGCTATCCACTGGCACGGAGTGTTTCAAAGAGGGACGCAGTACATGGACGGAGTACCCATGGTGACCCAGTGTTCAATTCATGAGGCAGACGTGTTCAGATATGACTTCCTGGCCAATAACGAAGGAACCCACTACTGGCATTCCCATGACGGCAAGTATTGTAGCTCTCGAAGTGGGTGCTACGGTATTCGAGGTCAGGATACTGGAGAAGACCTATAGGACAAAAGCGAGAATGGAACAAAAAGATGAGATTTATAATTTTTTACTATAGGGCGGTCAAATGAAGAAGAATGTGATGGGTGGAACATGTTGTGTACGTGGGAAAGGAGAAAATGCATACAAAATTTTAGTCGAGAAACTTTAGGGAACAGACAATTTGGAATACTTAGGAACAGATGGAAGTATACTATTAAAATCGACCTTAAAACTGAATATTCTTTGAAAATAATTTATTATTCACAATTTCAATATCCTATATTAAGTGGCATAAGAGTCATTTCCAACTCAAATTTTGTGCGTCCGCAATTTTATTTCCAAGTGGAGGAAATCTAAAAGTACGAATTTGGGGTGGCTTCCAGTGGTATAAAGTCCATACAAAATTTAATAAAAAGATTCCTGAGCACTTCTCGAGTTAAAACATGCGGACACACAGACACGATCTTCCCTGTGCACATCGTGCAAAGAACGCATAACAAAGACCGCATTATACGTATGTTACCAGGTTTACAGAAACTGGACGGCATCCAGGGCAACCTCGTAATCCGCACACCAAAGGCGAAAGACCCGAACGGAAATCTGTATGATATCGATGTCCCCGAACATACACTCATGATTTTGGACTGGATGAATACCACGGCTGAAGAGAGATTCCCAGGTCTACGTCAACGGGAACCAGGGCAGATGCCAATAACATTCCTTCTCGACGGCAGAGGACGTCCTAAGGTATTCTATGGAAATACTATCATACGACTTGGTATAACCCTCGTGCTTCCACAGTTGTTAAAATGTCGCCACAATTAGAGGAATTTCAACTTTGAAAGAAGAGGGTACCCGTGGCATACTAGTCCAACAAGGAGAGTCCCCCACATTTAAACAAGTGACGAATTTCTTAAATCTCAATGTCGTAAAAAATGGACTGGTAGGGAAGAGCCCACCACTTGGCCACCTCATTCTCCTGACCTGACTTCCCTTGATTATTTCTTTTGAGGGTACATCAAGGACTCCGTGTAAGTTCTACCAATGGCTAAAATTTGTCGGAACTTGGGGGGGGGGGGGGGGCGGGGGGGGGGAGGCAGTGGCTACAGTTACCCTCGGCCGTGATTCCGAAATCCAAGACGAAAATCTTATGAATACTAATCAGGAGTGGTGTCGACATTCATGTCTGTTTCGTCGTCGCCATGACCAGCAGTTTCTAATTACGTGCTTTCATTGCTGTGCAGCTATTACCAGGTCAGCAGAACGCTTCGCCTGTCCCGTATAAGGAGGTGTGGGTGGAGCAAGGCAAGAAGTTCCGCCTGCGGTTTGTGAGCGGTTTGTGTACAGTGTGTGGTGCTCAAATCTCCATAGAGAGCCACGGCATGACGCTCATCGCTACAGATGGCGCTCCCGTCAAACCCGTCAATATCGGATCCATCGACTTATTCTCAGGTACAAACTCAACAGATCGGTACGGCCGTAATTTCAGCTGTTTTGTCGCTCGATGAGCATTTGTCACAGCCAAACTCTTCCTGTATCCCGAAGTACTGTTATCAGTCTGTGTATTGTTGTGTTATTCGGTACGTCCTTACGACAATACCCGTTGCTAAATGCGTCGCAAACAGCAGCAAACTATTTCGATGCTGTGCTGTTGCTGTTTTAGGGGAGAGATACGACGTGGTACTGAACGCAAACCAGACCCCAGGCACGTACTGGATTCACATAAGGGGACTAGCAGAGTGTTCCGAACCTGGTATAGAAATATATCAGTTGGCAGTCCTGAGGTACCTTGGCACCAATCAAGCTAGGAACGACCCGCCAGGATACAACGGTGGTTTCGGCAATGGCGGAACGGTTTGTGGAAAATACAAAAATTTTAACGTAAAAAGTACTAACTCCATAGAGCAGAGTCCTTCTTGGGAAGCTAATAGCACAACAACCAGCCAATCGATAATTCGGTCATAAAATTAACATACTGTACAGAAATCTTCATACTCACCGCTGTGAAAACCTCAAATCTTACATACTGTATTCTCATTCAAATACGAAAAAATTAGTGAGTCTGTTTAAAAACATGTCAGATAATTCTAAAAAAAGTACAGCCGACATTAATAAGAGTCACTGAACTGTTGTTTCAGGTACTAAACCCTCAAAATGCCTCATGTGCAACTGGACAAGGTGGTTTGTGCGTTTCACAACTGACGGGTTTGATTCCTGACAATGACAACGTCTTGAGCAGGCCGCCTAACTTCAACATAGTCTTATCGTTCGGCTTCCACATTTTCGACAATTTGCAGGAAACTTTCAACAAGGGGAGATACGAACGGTTTTTTGGTATGCAGTTAATAAAACCACTTATAATATTCATACTTGACTCGTATATTCCAGATTCCATCAGCCTTGGCTTTCCGAGACATAAGCATAATGATCTCTGTCTATAACTACAATCGCTCAACGTGCAAACTGTCCAAAAGATTTCCCAACAAATTTCCGCTTTCATTCCCTGTCTTCCTCAATCTAGCTACATGCCCAACCAATCTTAGTCCCGTGTACTTGACTATCCTCGAAATACAAGAAGATCTCGACAAATCGGAAAGCATTACATACAGAAATACAAGTGATAACAAATATTTGAAAAATAATTACTATTGTGGGCAACAAATAAAATAAGTTTATATTTTGCCTATTTCTCGTGTATTCAGTGGCCCCGGACAGGACGGTTTTAACCAGCTGGATAAACAACATCTCCTTCATATCACCGCCATCGCCTCTCCTCAGCCAGGGGCCAGATACCCCAAGAGAAATGTTCTGCCCCGTTGGAAGAGATGGATTCCCTCAATGCCCCACTAACACAACCTCCGCCGATTACTGTGAGTGTATCTACGTCATCAAGATACCACTTGGGGCCGTCACTCAAATCGTCATTGGTGACCTCTGTAAGTAACATGGTCTCTGAATACGAAACAGCTTTTACACATTAAAGTATATCAATCCGCTGTCAGCCGAAGTGTTTTGTAATTTTCTGTCGCCATGTTCGACGAAAAATAGTTACCTAATACGACAAAATACGTTTTATTAATGTCGTTAGTATCTGGCAGTAGCTACTGGTGTGAGCAGGTCTTGTAGGTCGCGCCCTACTAATAGAAATTTGGGGGTTGCATATAAATTGAAGAAAACATAAATTATAGAGGATATTGAAGGATTACTCAAGTAAATGTAGTGTATATTATCTTAATAATTACTGATTTTGTTACGGACAACTACTGAGTATTATGAACCTGTTTGTGACAAGACAATTAACGAATTACCATAAAGTTTAAATACATTAAGACCTAGATATAACATTGCTGTACGCGATTCTATAAGCAATAGTGAATGAGGCCCTATATCTGTGACAGAGCATTAACTGCTAATCTATACCGCAACTATTTTGTAATTCATAAATCGTTACGAAAGCACCACGCATTTGAAAGATAAAAATACGAGCACAATTATTTCATGACATTACCAACATTATAACTACTATAGCTGGTTACTGCTTTGGATAAGACACGCAAACATTTTTCTAACAACACTGTAACAACTGTAGTTGCTACGGCTTTGGATAAGACACGCAAACATTTTTAACTGGTAAACACTGACTTTTCGACAATCCTCAATGGTAAAAGTAAAGATATGCGCGTTCTATTACTGTATTTCCTCGATTTTAAGATACAATCGATTGTGAGACGTAGGTTTTCATGAAGAAAGACGCTATATCGACTCTTAGTCGTCATCAAATATAAGACGCACCCAGATTTCAGAAATTATGAAATGTAGAAAAAGTACGAGGTGCGATCGGAAAGTTTCAAGACTGTGTCAATAGAGGGCTTGTGCGACATTGTTGGGATAGGCTATGGGACCTGTCAGCTGATTCTAAAGGAAGAACTCCACATGCGACGCATCGCAGCCAAGTTTGTGCCAAGGCTCCTGTCTGAGGACCAGAAGCAGAATCGACTTCTCGTTTGTCAGGAGCTCAAAGATCTTGCAAGAACCGACCCCAACTTCCTTTCTAAGCTCCGTGTGACTTCTTCCTCTTCCCAAAGATGAAAATTCAGCGAAAGGGAAGGAGATTTGAGACGATAGAAGAGATTCAGGCAGAATCACAGATGGTGCTTGACAGGCTGACAAAGAAAGATTTCCAGGGATGCTTCCAGGCTTGGCAACGGCGCTGGGATCGTTGTGTTCACTCCCAGGGGAACTACTTCAAGGGTGATGGATGAATTTAATAC